ATATTCACCATAGAACCATACTTGTAAATTCCCCATCTCCTAAAGTTCCCCATCTGTCAATTAGTCAACCCTTGGTCAAAGTCAAAGTCAACGGTCAAGGTCAATAGTCCATGTTGACCTCAACACATCGAGTACAACCAGCCACTCGCCGAGTTCCATGCATAACTCGTCAACTCACCGAGTCACTTGAGTGACTCGTCGAGTTCTTATGGTTCACGGCCGTAAACTCCTTGGGTAACTCGTCGAGCTTCCCTACAACCTGCCGAGTTCATGTGTGACCAAAGGTTGGGAAAACCCCAGCTGAATCGCCGAGTCACTCCACTGACTCACCGAGCCCACAACAATATTCATCGGACTCGCCGAGTCCCTTCAGTCCTTCATCCATTCGAATGCTTTTAAGCCATGCTAATGTCCCATATTGCAAATCCAACTCCCCAAGGCATTTTTATCATGTAAAGTTGCAAACTTTATGTGCATGCAAGGCTCTAATGACTTTAAATGACAAATCCAAGCTTGTGATGGATTTTTACTACTAAGGAGAGTATCATACTTGCAAAATCTGGAAGCTTTATGGACTTAGAGACCCAAGAGAGCTCAGATCTGAGGTTTCAACTTCAGATCTTAGCTCATACACAAGAAAGATTTAATATGCTAGAGAAGCCCTAAACTTCACCCAATGGGATCTAGAAGGAAATTGAGGTCAAGATAATGACTTGATGCCAACTGTGGTAGATTTATGATTCCCACACGTTCCTTTCCTCCAGCTACTTGTTCTCCAAGCGATTCTCATCAAGAGTCCTCTTCCAAAGCTTAAAACACACAAATAGAGCACACACTCATGAATTAGGGTTTTGTTGAGCTCTCAAGGGACTGCAAGAAGGCCAAAGGAGGCTAATGGTCCCTTAAATAGGGTGCAAAACCCCAGAAATTAGGGTTTCATCCACCTGCTCCTACTCATCTGCTACTACTCGACGAGTTAGAGCAATCAACTCGTCGAGTAGACCTCGAAATCATGAAAATTTATAACCATACTTCAATACCTGAGAATCGGGGCGTTACAATAAAACAAATATTTATTATTATTATCCCTTTAACGTTTAGCCTAACTCTCGGGCATTACATATGCTATTACGTGGTAGTGGTAGGGGTGAAGTAGACCCCTTAATCGGTCGAAAGAGACTGAACGGGTAGGCCATCACCCAGATATGCTAGGCAGTATGTGATATATGTGCTTATATGCTAGAATATTATGTGGTAGCGATAAGGGTGAAATAGACCCCGTAACTGATTGAAAGTGACCGAAGGGGTAAACCAACACCTAGATATGTTAGGCAGTTACTGGTTGAAAGAGACCGAAGGGGTAGGCCAACACCCTGATCTGGTAGGTAGTACCGGATGAAAGAGATCGAAGGGTAGGCCAGCACCCGGATATGCTAGGTAATATGTTTATTGTATGGTATGTGGTATGATGGGGGAAATCACTAAGCTTCGTGCTTGCGGTATTTTGTTTTGGTTTCAGATACTTCTTGAAAAGGAAAGGGCCGGTCATGATCGCAGTGCATCACACTATGATTTTTCTGCACATGAGATCTTTAGGAGAATGTACTATGATGTTGTTTTCTCGTGGCATGTTTTGATTATTGAGATGTTGGTTTTAATTATGATATTGAATGACACTATTAATGTTTTCAGACTACTGGTTTTTATAATTACGTAATTAAAAATGAAATTTTTGGTCATGAATTTTGGGATGTTACAGTCCTAGGGTGTATTTCAACACGATCATACAAACAAGTATACATCACATAGCAGTTAGCATTCTATATAACCGAATAAAGGGCCGACAATAGTGCCTGCGACCTACAGATACGATGATAAAACTCACCTCACAGACATATGAGAAAGCGGAAATAGCACGATGCTCTAAAATCAACTCTATCAATCACCTTTACAAATAGAGTGACCAAAACTCAAAATATAGATCCAAATACCTAAAATACCCCTAAGTCAAGCCTTGGTCAAAATCCAGGTCAAGTCAGTGAGTACGTTGGGCGTACTCAACACATGTGCGGGGCATACTGAGTGTTTGAGCAAACCACAAAGGGTCGGCCACGTAGGCGCAACGTACCCTTTAGTATACCCAACGTACGTAGCTGCCACCAGCTCAACACATTAAGTCCTTAATCCTTAAGCACTTTCGTCCAAAATCCAGATCTAGATTCGAAAAGGTGTTCTTAACTATAAAGTTTCCAACTTATGGTTTTGCATGGCAAATAAGATCTTAACATAAAAAAACCCTAGCTTCTTGACCCATTAGGATAACCTATATCATGCATGGGAAGCAAATAATGTCCAATATCATATTTTTATGACTTAACACACCCTACAACATCTGAAAGGACAAGTCAAACGTCTTGTAGTACTCCATACTCATAAGGATCAATATATGGGACAAAAAAGGTGCAAACTTTAAGGTAAAACTAAATCTAAAAGGAATACTCATCAAGGTTGGAGCTTTATACTTACAGAAGATGCACAAGGGAGTATAGATGTTGGATCCAAGGACTTAAGTGAAACACTACAACTTCAAAGCTCTTCCTTCACCACCAAGAGTAACAAAATGGCAGCAAAAAGACACTCCAAGCTTCAAAATGCACTCACACTTTAGGGTTTTGAAATGAGGTCAAGATTAATGGAGGCTAGAGTTAAGGAGGGGTGTGTGGCTATAATGATGCTTAAATAGGGTCCTAACCCTAAAATTTAGGGTTTGCACCCTGGTCACGTACGCCCGACATACGAAATGTACGCCCAGCATACGCAAGCCTGCCCAAATAATTATGAAATTGCCATTATGGACTAGTTTTGCAAATCATTCAAAAACCAATGGTCAAATTGAAAATTCCTGGAAATCAAGATGTTATAAATTTTGAAAGAAATAGATATAGAAAAATAGAAGAATTGGGCTTGGTTTGGTAAAATAAAGGTTGTGAGGTTTTATTTATAATAATAATAATAATAATAATAATAACAACAACAACAACGACGGCGACATTTTGACCGTTCAAAATAGGAAGAAGAGAAAGTAGATTAAAAGAAGAGAGAAAACATGCAATAGAATTCTACCGTAAACGGTCAAACCGTACAGGAAACCGATGGGTGGGCGTGGTGTTCACCTGCCGTGTGTGGCCAAACCGCTTCCACACCGTTGGGTCTTTTGGCATAGAAAGTTGAAGAAAACCATAATATCGTACAAGAAAGTCAAAGCTCTTTTGGAAACCATATTGGAATGAATGTGTTTGAACACTAAATGATGTGATGGATCCTAGAATTGTTGTAAAAGAAAATATGTATTCTAAGATGTTAAGGAAAATATTGAGTTTAGAAGTACGGATCTTTAACTTGAAATATTTAAAATATATGTTTTTATTTATAAACCAATATGGTGTTGGGAAGATGTTTGTTTAATTGGGAGGGAGTCATAAAAAGAATCTCATGAACATACTCCAAACACCCACCAATACATAAAAACCATCTCCATTGAATTAATTGAGTTCTTGAATCTGCCAAAAAGGGGACTTCACATGTCTTTGTATTGTAGTAGTAGATTGATGAAACTTCTAAAATCACATTCACACTTATTCCTAGCAAGTAACAACTACTCACAGTCACGGACTCGATTATACGTATACGTGACCCCACTTAATGTTATCATTCTTTTCTTATATATCATATATCCGGCATCCTCCACATAACAACAATACTTGGAAGCTTCTGCTTCTTTCATTTCCAATTCCAACCATGGATCCAATCCTCTTTCTTCTTCTTGTTGTTGTTGTTTCTCTGTCTGCTTCGCCGGTTTCTGCAGCGGTTCAGCCAACCACGTCCCACATCACAGTCACAGGCTCAGTGTTTTGCGACGTCTGCTACAGCAACTTATTTACAAGATACAGCTATTTCTTACCAGGTAAAGCAGTAATCATAGATAGCGTTATAGTAGCAGAATTTGGAAATTAAATTTATACCCATTTGTGTTATGTTGTTGAGATAATCACAGGGGCGGATGTTCATGTCCAATGTAAATTTCAAGGGAATGCGCCAAGTACAAAAGAGCAGATTAGTTTTTCAGTGAACAGAACAACCAACAGATACGGTGTATACAGATTGGATATACCATCGGTGGTGGGGGTTGACTGTGTGGAAGGTCCGGCCATTCAGTCACTCTGTGAAGCCACTTTAATAAAGAGCTCGGTTCCAGGCTGCAATGCCCCTGGGGTGTCCACAACCACCAAAGAGATCACCGTGAAATCAAAGTCAACTAATGTTTGTGTTTATAGTGTGAGTGCACTCAGTTATAGACCTTTTCAGATCAACTCCACCCTTTGTGCCCTCGACTACCAACAAAAGCTCATCATGTCATCCGATTCTTTCAACTCCTCAAAGTTTTTCCTCCCTTATTTTCCTTGGCCTTTACCTCAATTCCCTCCCTTCCCGCAACTGCCGCCGCTGCCTCAATTGCCGCCGTTCCCACAACTGCCGCCGTTCCCTCAACTGCCGCCTTTTCCTTCATTTCCACCAACTCAATTCCCGCCACAGCCACCATCTTTGCCATATCCACCACCAAACTTCCCTCCGGTGTTCAATTTGGGAGACCCAAGAACTTGGATACCCAACATCCCTTCACCCAATCCACCATCACCACAACCACCATTCAATCCAAGTGATCCAAGAACTTGGATACCACGAAACCCTTTTCTCATTCATCCGCCACCACCACCACCACCTGGATTTAATCTAAGAGATCCAAGAACATGGATACCAAGTTTCCCCCCTTCTCCCAACAGCCCTCAAAACCAGCAACCTTAGTTAGTTGTTCGTATGTACATACAGCAAAAATTGGCTTCGTTATTATGTATTATTATTTGGTGGGTCAAATTCTTTTGTTGAAAAAACTGTGTATTATCTTATCATTTATAATAATTACAACCAATTGGGATTATAATTCAGGAGTCTATGCTTGCTTCATATATACGTCAAACATAAAAATGTAACAACAATCATAAATGTACGCAAAAGTAGAAGACAGAAATACAAAAGCCAAACCATCTTTGATATGATTTGAAAATTAATAGTATAAGAGAAGAGAGTAATGCAGAGATGAAACTTTAGGGACTTAGCAGTGTTAGTAGAGTTTGATCGTGTATATTTGATATTAAAACTAGCATATTATGACTCCATTGCTCTTGAGCACTTTTATGGTCCTCTGTAACTCTTCAATGGTGTCATTGGCCTCCTACAAGAAACAAGAAACAAGAAACAAGAATTTATAGCTGATGCTGATGCTGAGGATATATACTATAAATCGGTTCCTTAAACAATAAGGCATACCTTCAACTTATTCCTCAAAGTCTCTTCCAGGGCTTCCCGCCGGTTTCTTTCTTCAGAAAATATGTCAATAAGGTTTATCTGTTCTTGATCCAGCACTTGAATCTTTTCTTGTAATTTCACAATCTGTCCATCAACCAACCAACCACCATTGCCATTCATAATTTTCTATTATAAAAATATTTCAAAAAAGAGATTTTACGTACTTGATTTTCAAGAGAAATAGTCTTGTCTTTCTCAGATTGCAGATCCAATAACAAATCATTGAGCATCACACCCTCGCTTGTCTCTAGTCTGCAAAACAATTGTATACCAACAAAGTACAAACATAAGTAAACGGTGAAATTCTCCTTGCCAAATAAAAAACAAACCTCTTCTTGAGTTGCACATTCTCTTCCTTCAACTTGGCTATGGTGTCGTCTCCATTCATATTTGCTTTTGATTCTTTACAAATAATTTTTGGTGAACTACTTGTAATGATTTCTGGAAACTCTGATTCCTCAGATGTTGATGCTTCAACTTTTCTGATGGGCCTCAACTTGGGGGCTCTAGCATCACTTTGAACATCCGGTTTATCTTCCATTGAAGGTCTACATTTTGTATCTGAACTGTTCTTGCAACGTTTAGCATACCCAATTTCTTGACAATTCGTAGACCTAAACAAAAGAGTCAAATTTTGTTAGCAAATTATATTTGGTGGGTGTGTGAGAGAGAGAGAGAGTTAAAATAATTAATGAAGAGAAGAAAAAAAAAACCAGTATTTCTTTTGTATGACGACCAATCGATTCTCAAGCCTTGAAAGTACAGTTGTGCGTTCAAACCCCTGTTTATCATGAGCTGGCTCAACAAAATCAGCTTCTAATACGCCTATAACTCCCCTACCATCACTTCCAGCAGCATTCCAAACCCTCCAAAATGGCTGTCACACAAATTAAAATTAGAAAACATATATACACAGATCATTTGTATAAGAAGAAAGTCAATTAAACCTTAATGAGTCGGTTCTTGTGATAAACATTGAACCCTTGAACATCGATATGGTCTTTTGCATCTTTCACAAAACCTATAGTCACCACAGCCACCATCTGCTAGGTGGAAAAACAAGAGTAAAATTAAAATTCCTAATTTTAACATGCACATAATACTTAATAGTACTACTTAAGGATTTAGGGTCGATACGTTTTGATCATTCCTTGTGGTTGTCCATTCAGGACATGGTTGTGTTGGCTTATACGTAACCATCTGAGTTAGCATCATATCATCAACTATATTATGATGAATTACATCTACTCCACGAAGGATGATTCTAAAGCCCTCTGGAATGCGCAGGTATAAAATTGCTGCATAATTCTGGACAAGTAAAAAAAAAAGATAAATTATACATATTATATGCAAATATATATAGATAAATGGATTGCAAATGGGAGAAATTATATACTCTTAAGGAATGCCTGTAAGTTAAAAAGTGGCGAGAGTTGGGATACTGTTTCGCCATCTCAATCTTCTTGGGATCTCGATTGACCCCTCTGATTTGTATGTCCTGTCAATTCAAGAAAGGAATAGCTCATTTAGGTTAAAAGAGAAACCAAGAAGAAGAAAAAACACACCTAATTATATATATAAACATAAACATATACATACATGTGGATCTGTGTCAAAATCAAGCTCTAATTGTCCTTCTTCGTCCTCCCAAATGTTGTATATAATGATGCGTGTGCCTTGGATGTTGATGAAATCAAACTGCAAGTGAAACAGAAAAAGATTTAGTATCGAATCTTCTTGTATTTCTAAAACAAAATAACAATAACGTGATTACCTGCTGTAAGAGAGCTTCTTCAGTCGAATATGGAGACCACTGGACCAGTGTCTCCATGTTTCTTTTCCAGTCCTCAGGTGTGAATCGCACCATCATTCCCCAGTCATCTCCTCTCTTTTCAAAATCAATCTAAAAACACAATAATATATATATGTATTACAAGGAGCTTGATTCATGTGTTATAATTATTGCATGGATATATAGAAATTAACAAAACTAGGGTTGTACGTACCATTGGAACCACAATATCTTCCTTTCCGGTTTCCATTAAAAATGTGTATGATAGCATTCCGATACTTTGAGTTGGGCTAACAAAAAACAACAGTCAAACCAAGTTAGTTTTGATCTTACCGATAATGATATATAAGAAACTCCTCATAAAAAAAATAAAAAGAATACAACAATTGTTCAAATCATAAGCGTCCATCATCAAATTCTATACCTTCTACCATCCTGTCCTGGGCAACGAGTAAATACTAAAACATCGGCTCCAAGCCTCATTGTACTTGTCTTGAAACCATTCCCATCTAAAACAAATTAAATTGTTAAAAAAAAAAAATGATTATATGTTTATGTGAACATATTGAATTGCAGAAAAACATGAATCTACACTCACATTGACCAATAGTGTTGGCCAACTTGCTTTTCACAGAGTAGCCAAGAGACATGCATCCACGCAATTTATCAGGAGTCATTCCACCACCATTATCTGCCCTCAAAAATCAAGCAACACCTCTTTAGTTAAAACAAACAAAATATACAATCTGTTGATAACTCCAGAAGTAGTGATGTACCTTCGATCAGTAACATCTTGCTACCGATGTCTTTTTCATTATTCAGCACGTCTACATTAACATAAGTAGCTCCAGTGCGCACCTGAAATTAGTTGCATGACGTCAAAGAGAAAAAATAAAATCAGAGGACTTGCAGAAACTAAATTTCAGCAAGAAAGAGTTTAGAATCTTATATACCTCATCTAAAGAATTGTCGAGAAGCTCAGCAAAAGCTAAAATATAAAAATCAAACATCAGTTTACATTGAAGTTTTAGAACAATGCATTATACAATATTCGTCAATAAAACTAGTAATTAACTACCTCCCAGTGCCCACTTGTGGCTGGTGGCATTTGAATGCAAAAATCTGGGATGAACCCTCACGTGATCCATACCAGCTGCTGTACAAATTACAATAAAATTACATCTTTGTCAGCATGAACAAGGTTTAATTTTTAACAACTACTTACAAAAGAAAAAATTAAAAAAGAAACCCATTAAACTACTCTAGTGAATGCCTAGGGCTACAATAACTTCACAATCTTCTTCAAGAACTATCAACTAAAGATGAATAAAGGGTTCATCAAATGAATAGCAAAACAAACTGATGCAACACTATGATTTTGAGCCATGCCCGTCAAAATATTTCTTCTCTGTTACTACTTTTTTTTCACATATGAAAAATACGAAAGATTATATCTTGAAGCAAATCGATTACCAGGGTGTGATACGGATTCTATATTGTTAACAGAAACCTCATAATCCCCTGCCTTCCAAAACTGTTTGCTCATAGATGGAACGATAGCCTTGAGATTATGATCATCAGTGTTTCGGTATTCTAAGATGGATTGCGTTTGCGGCACAGAGACCAACGAGCGTTCGTCGGGATTAATAGGATCAAGAAACCCTACAGGCAATGCATATTCAACTACTTGTTCTTCGATTTTCGGCTTTTTACTCGGCCTCCCGTTATTCTCGTCCATAACGTCAGCGCCATGATAACAATGGAAACTCCGATTAGAATCCAGAACGTCGATCGTTCCCATATTCGTCGAAACTGTTCGCATTCCGTCTCCGACTGCAGCGGATTCAGGAATCATCTTCACCTCCATGGCTAAATTTACGTGACCCTTCAAGATTCGCACGCACAAACACAGAAAGAAAGAGGGCGGACGCGCAAAGTGAAGAAGAGGGTTTCTTCGGCTTGCCTCCGACTTGTGATTGATCTGCAAAAAAAGCGGGAGATCAAGGGTTATATATAGGGAGCGAAATCGATCGAAACTGTTGCTTACGTGCACAAAGAATCCCGAGTATATTTGGCAACCGCCAACTATATTGTGATTGTCTGCTTTTTTCAATTTGCTCCCTTGTAGATATATTTGGTTCATATTTCCCCTAATAATAAGTACGCGTGTGCTCATCCTTAAGATAACCAATGTCTTTAGTCAACTATTGTTATGTTATTGTTATAGTCGTCCTGTGAACAGCTATATAATTAATTTAAAAAATTATACTTTCATTTATTTTCGTTATAACAATTTATTATGACAAATCTTTCCGATTATAGTTATATCAAGTTGTTTATTTTTATTTTTCTTTTTTGTAGACAATGCTTGATAACAATAGATTGATTTTATTTTGTTGTAGAAAATTTCATTCATTTATTCTCATATTAGCAATCTACAATGACAAATCTACGCAGTTATCTTTCATGTCTTAAAATAATATCTACAATTGGGTTGTATACATGACATAAAATAAAGAAGACAGTGTGTTTGTAACATCCCAAAAATTATATGTAATATTCCGTTTATTAAATAAATAAATAGATAAATAAAATTTTATAAATGAATAGTAACCCTAAAATTCATAATATTTAGTAGTGTGTTTGTTTCGGGGAGCCAAATGATATAATTTAGGTTTTCGGGAGGTAAAGTGTAAGTTCATGATTTAATTTAAAAAGGGTTTCAGAAGTCAAGGCGTGTTTGGTAAATTATAGACTTATTATGAAAAGATTATTGGAAACAGAGGCCAAAGGGTAAATTTTAGATTTAAATTGAAAAAGATCTTGAAGAGAGGGGTTGAATGTTAAATATTGGAGTTGTTTTGAAAAAGATTTGATGGGGAGGGTCCAAAATTGGAAAAAAGAGCATAAGTTTTGGTGAATGCACGGGTTTGGACCCGACGCTTCTTCCTTTCCGGCTTCAAAAGACATTAACCCTAACCCTAGCGCACCTTCTACAGCCGCCACCACCATGTGAGTCCTCCTCAGCCGCCGCTTGCATCACCGGGTCTGACAGCCACCGTTTCCGCTTGTTGCCTTGTCGTCTAACGCTACCGTCACGTCCCCTGTTGTCGCCAGTAACGTCAAGAACAATCGGAAGATCGCCGAGACCAACGGAGGAAGCCGTGAACAACGATATTGGAGTCATAAACAGTCGGAAGGCTCTCAGTAAGAATATTAGCGGTCCACCTTCCTTCTTCTTGTTCATTTCTGTAGGTTAAACGATGTGTGCCCCGCTGCTGCTGCCGGTGGTCTTTGGCCACTGATTTTGCATTTTCCAGCGATGTCAGTCGCATGGGAGGTGGTGGAGTGTGGTTGTGCTCACATGTACGAATTGCTTCCGGAAATTATAGTGTGATGTGTGTATTATTTGACCAAAAACCCACCGCCACCACCATGGGGTGGTGGCTATCACCGGTTGCTGTCGCCTGCCACCGCGGGGGTGGTTGTATGTGTGTCATTAGATGTCTATGAGTTCGTTTTCTATATGATTAGGATGTTGATTAGATGTTTTGGATGGAGAAAAGCCAAGGAAAACCCCCACCACCACCGTGAGGTGGTGGTTGCCACCATGGACTACCGATGCCCGAGGTGGCAGTGGGTGGTGCTCGACCTAATGAAGCTTAAATCAGCCAAAAACATAACCATTGGGACTAATTGACTTGTGTTTGGTATGGAAACCCTAATTAGGGTTTAGAAAACCCCAATCTTAGGAACTGCTGTTGGGACTTGTTGGGACCCACATTTGGACTGTTGGACTGGATTGGAATTATGAATTAATATCGACCACTTTGTATGTTTGAATTAGTAGAGTGATGGACTTAATGGATTAATTCCTTAATGGGTTAAGTAAGAACACTTAACCCTAATCGTCATTTTATGTGAAAACCCTAATTTTGCTTGGGCCTTGAGTTGGGCCATTTTATTGGGCTTTGGTGTGTAATGTTCGGTTCGTGGTACATATTTTAAATATGAATTACTCATTTTTGCAAAGGGACTCGATGATTTGGAGGCCCCAAACTCGTCAAGTAGGAATGGAATTTTTGGACCCGCAACTTGAAGTTTACTCGACAAGTTGAGATCCTCAACTCGACAAGTAGAGCTGCCAGAGTGAAACCCTAACTTTCAGAGTTTGCACATTATTTAATTAGCTTAATGTCCAAAGGTTGGCCTCATTTGTAGCCTCAATCACCCCAAACCCTATCCACGAAACCCTAATCCACCTTGAAGTGTTTTTGAGCCATTGTTGTGTGTTCTTGGTGATTTTGAAGCTTGAGAAGGAAGGAGAAGTTTGAGGACTCAAGAGGAAGCCAGTAGACCCAAAAGTTAAGCTATATTTTTGACTCATTTGAAGTATAAAGTTGATACCTTGGCTTTCTATTTGTAACATCCCAAAATTCAAGACCAAAAATTTCATTTTTTTAATAAGTTGTTATAAAGACCGATAGTATTAAAATGTTCATAATATCATCCCATGTTAAAACCTATATAACAGTAATGAAAACATGTCATCATAAAACAATATCAGAGTAAAATTTCAAAGATCTCGTGTGTGGAAAACATAGTGCGATGCGTTGCGATCGCCGACTCCTTTCCTTTGAAGACGAAGTACCTGAAACCAAAACTGAAAACCGTAAGCACGAAGTTTAGTGAGTTCACCTATCATACCACATACCATAGAATAACATACTATCAGGTATATATGGGTGCCCGACCTACCCTTTCAGTCTCTTTTAATCGATAACCGCCTAGCATATATGGGTGTTGGCCTACCCCTTCGGTCTCTTTCAACCGGTAACCGCCTAGCATATCTGGTTGCTGGCCTACCCCTTCGGTCCTTTCGACTGGTATCGGGGACTATTTCACCCCTACTTCTACCATATAACATGCTAGCCTATAAACACATAAGTCATATACTGCCTAGCTTAACCGAGTGTTGACATACCCCTTCGGCCCTATCGACCGGTATTGGGGTCTATCCTACCCCTCCTAGCACTATCACATAATATCATAGCATACTAGCACATAAAGCATAACAGATAGTGACATACCAAATAATTATCACAAAGACAATCATCTATACCATAGCTCTTACTAGTGGGCCGGTATTGGTGCCTTTGACCCACTTCTACTGGAAGGTAACTCACCTCACACTGTTGAAGTCCATTGCAGGAAATCCTTAGTTGCCGCCCTTGTAGCTCCTCGAGCTGTCAATATCACAATATCATCCAATTACCAATTGAGTCCTAAACCATGATCCACAATCCAAATCTTGTGGTAAAATCCCTAATCCAACAAAACCTATAATAATACCCAAGTCCAAAACCAATAAGGTTCAAAACCATAAATCCACAAAAGCCCGATATATGGCCCAATTTCTAATTAGGCCTAACCCTTACATGAGACTACCTTTTTAGGATCCATTCCACACATCATAACTTTCCAAGGTCAAAGTCAAAATTCTGGTAAAAGTCAATCATATGGTAAAAGTCAGCATCTAGCTGACTCAACTGGCCGAGTTGGTCCATCAACTCACTGAGTTCTATAAATCAGAGAACCTCGAACTCACGATACAAATCGTCGAGTTACCCTCTAACTCGCCGAGTTCTTCTTTATGACAGAAGTGGGAGTTTTCGTTTCAACTCGTCGAGTCCTCAACTCTTCAAAACCCCAAAAACTTAGCCAACTCACTGAGTCATCTTCTAGACTCACTGAGTTTGCTCGGTAACTGAAAAGGTTGGGGGACCATGACCCTACTCGCCGTGTTGCATGAACAACTTGTTGAGTTCCCCATAGTCTTAATCCATTAAGTAACTTTCTATTGAGTCCAACACTTCCAAAACATAGATTTGGTCTCCTGAGGTTGGAATACCACATAATGTTGCTAACTTTGTTGGGTTTTATGTACTCTAACATTCCTATGGTGCACATGCAACCCTAATGTTTTGGATCTAAGTTTTCTCTAATTATACATGCAACGTTGGTTCCAAAGCATGAAACCAAAACTAGCATAAAAAAGTTTAGCATATGAATCATAAAACAAGTTGTAGAGTTACCTCTTGATGTTGTTGATGTTGCTAGTAAGATTTTGGCTTTGTGAGAACTTAGCCCCCTAAGTGTTGTGCCTCAAACAAGTCACAAACACCATGTAAAAATTAGATGGATATAAGAGAGGCTAAGGAGACTCTAAAACCAATTTCTCTCTTGGAATGCAAGTAGTAGTCAATTTTAGGGCTTAGCACTATATATATATATATTGTCACACCCCAAAACCAAGAACGGCGGAAACGTTCAGGGGTGGATGACGTCATGTACAATATCACAACAATGTAGTAAACAAACAACAACATCATCCATTGCATTAAAAGTAAATATTTAATATATGTGTGTTCTTTAAAAGTAATAAGACACCAAAATATGAAATCAAAATAAAAGACAAGTTTGTCTGTGCTTCGTCTTCTCAAAACCTGGCCATCGTACATGTCTACTGGTGACCTGAGAATACAAGTTATTTTGAAAGCGAGTATCGGCATAAAGCTGGTGATTTCACAAGTATTTAAGTGTCATTGTCTTGTTTTGGAAAGCTGTTATGAATGCCATGTAAATCTTTGAATGAAACAATTGATATAAGTATGAAAAACCCTAGAAAATCCCATATATCCTAGCAGTATAAGAGAAGTCTTCTACCAAGACCCGAATGTTTTGAAAGTAGTCTTCTACCAAGACCTGTATGTTTTGTTGTAACAAAGATGGTTTTCCCTTTTATGACTACTATTAACAATATATAATCTACCTCCTCGTTTATGTGAATGTAACACAAAATAAAAGTAATAGGGAAAATATAACCATAAAAGTATTATCCTTTTGCATTAGGATAAACACGACATCGCGACTGGCGAAATGTATAACCTTGAACATCCGTAGATTGTTCATTTTCCTCTGTAGCTAGCAGCAGGTTTAAGGAATGGTTAGTCCTGTAAAGGTACTCCTAATATAAGTATTAACTGTAGGCATCCGTAGATGTTCATTACCTTTGTTGCTAACAGGTGGGTTCCGAAATGGTTAGTCCCGTCAAGTTATCATTTTGAACTAGGATAGGCAGAACAATTTACACATAATGTACTAGTAACTCATCATAGAGAATCTAGGTACAAGTATCCATGTAAGTGTATACAAATAAATGTATATATGTAAATGTATTCATGTAAGCGTATCGATGTAGACGTATTCATGTAACATGTAATGTATAGTATAGACTCATGAATGAACTGACTCTGGTGTAATTCCTTGTAATAGGAATAATGTTTTGTATCTCCTAACTATCCCTATAATAGTTAACTAGAAGGTAATTGATTGTTGAAGCATGTTTATACACCCTTGTTACACAAGAGTGTGGGAAACTGAATGAAGGACGAAAGCTATCATATCAATACATATATAAGAACATAAGTGTATAGATATACTTTTGTTCAAGAAGAAGAAAATGGTTTTGTAAGACATTTAAGAGTTTTGAACAATAATTAACAATGACTTGATGTCATTTTAATAAACATTTCAAAAGTAATACATTTGATAACAAAGTATTTTTAAGATAGAAAACCATTTCATACATCACATTTTGAAGCATGTGAAATCAGTTGGATGAAAACACAGTTATAAATCACTTATGATTGATTCTATAACATGATATTTTCTACTTGTATTCCCCCCATTAAAGCATTTAAAATCATTTAAAACATAGATTAAGGGGCATGAAATCACCTGTAGTGAGTGGTACAGATGAACTGAAGGTGTAGGATTGCTAGGTGTCAAATGAAGTCTTGAACACACTCTATGATCCTAGTTAACATATAATATCACATATATGTATACAATTAGTTTTTAAACAACTAATTAACAAAGTTAAGACACCCTAGGACATGGTAAACACCTTATACAAGTGTTATAAGTCCCAAGGATTGCATCTACGTGTTGTAGGGAAAGGCTAGTGTGCTTGGGGTTCAAGGAACACTCCTTTAGGGAGTTTACGGTCTTATGGTCACTAGCAAAAGGGTTTACGGTCATAAACTCTTGGGTTTACGGTCGTAAGCACACCCCCTTTGTGACCATTTGTTGTTTGAAGCTTTAAGAGTCCCTAGAAGTCTTTCTACTTGATGTATGTGACCATGGAAGGTACTAGGGCACCATTTCACTCCTAATTGGAGTTTA